TTGATGGGAGAGGGAGGCCAGAGCCAGATCACCCCGAGCCATGGTGAAGAGTTGGGATTTCATTCTAGGTCTACTGAAAAAAACATGTGGAGTATTCTGAGCCTGGATCCTTCCTCAGTGTCATGGGAGAATGGATTTTAGGGGGGGAAATGAAAGTCAAGGGCTATGTCAAGAAGCTACTTCAGGGGCGCCTGGGTAGCTTAGTTGGTTAAGCTCCGATTTGGCTCAGGTCATGATCTCACCGTTCATGAATTCGAGCTCTGCATGGGGCTCTGTGCTGACAGTTCAGAGCCTGGTGCCTGCTTTGGAGTCTGTGTCTTCATCTCTTTCTGCCCCTCCCTGCTCATGCTCTTTCTCTCTCTCTCAAAAATAAACATTAAAAAAAATACATTTTAAAAGAAGATATTGCAAAGACTCAGGAAGGAGAAAAGGATGCTCTGCCCTTTTATTAGAGAGTCCTTTACATTGGAGGGCCTTTGCCTGCTTCAGGTGGTGCTTTCAACATTTTTTGTTTGGTTTTTTTAAAGTATATTTATTTATTTATTTTGAGAGAAAGCGGGGGACAGAGGAAAGAGAGGGGGACACAGAGAATCCCAAGCAGGCTCCACACTGTCCACACAGAGCCCGACATTTGGCTCAATCCCACAAACCATGAGATCATGACCCGAGCTGAAATCAAGAGTCAGACGCTTAAACTGACACAGCCACCCAGGCGCCCTGACACTTTAAACGGGCTGTTTCCAGCAGGCCTTGGACCAGGAACACCCGAGAGTCTAGAACCATGTTGAACACCTCAGCTTCTCCCTCAGTCCCTCAGGGACTGGCTCCAGGAGACCTGAGTTCCAGCTCTTTCTGATCCATCACACACTCCAGGAAGCCCGCTGTCAGTTTGCCAAAGAATTGAGCCTCTGCGCTGGGAGAGCTGTGTTCGCCCCCCTGTGGCGTTCAGGAGGTACTGCAAGTCCCTCCCTTCATAGCTGAAATCCAAGGAGGAAAGGCACACCTCAGAGACACTGCTGGTTGGGTTCCAGAACACCCCAATAAAGCAAATAGTGCAATAACCTGAGTCCACTGAATTGTTTTGTTTCCCAAGCATATTGTTATGTTTACACTATACTATAGTCTATTAGGTGTGCAATAGCAGTATGCCTTAGAAAAACAATGTACATGTCTTAATTTTTAAAAAATACTTCATTGCTGGGGACCTTGGGTGGCTCAGTTGGTTAAGCATCTGACTTCAGCTCAGGTGATGATCTCGAAGTTCATGAGTTCGAGCCCCGCCTCGGGCTCTGGGCTAAAAGCAGCTCAGGGCTTAAAGCTGCTTCAGATTCTGTGTCTCCCTCTCTCCCTGCCCCTCCTCTGCTCACTCTCTGTCTCTCTCAAAAATAAATTAAAAACGTTAAAAAGGTTTTTCAAGATATTTCAAAATACTTTATTGCGAAAAAATAATGCTAACCATCATCTGAGCTTTTGGCAAGGTAGAATCTTCTTGCTGGTGGAGGGTCTCGCCCCCATATCACGGCGGCTGACTCATCTGGGTGGTGGCTGCTGAAGGTGGGGGGGACTGTGGCAATTTCCTAAGACAACACTGAAGTTTGCTGCATCCACTGATCCTTCCTTTCATGAACGATTTCTCTGTACCACGTGATGCTGTTTGATAACATTTTACCCACAGTAGAACTTCCTTCAAAATTGGAGCCTGCCTTTGCTTTATCAACTAAGTTTATGGAATATTCTAAGTCCTTTGTTGTCATTTCAACCATCTTCACGGCATCTTCACCAGGAGTAGACCTCATCTCAAGAAACTGTTTTCTTTTTTTTTTTTTTTTTGTAAGTTTGTTTATTTGCTTGTATGTTTTGAGAGAGAGAATGTGCAGAGAGAGAGAATCTCAAGCAGGCTCCACACTGTAAGAACAGAGCCCAACTGCAGTACTGAGTCCCACAGACCATGAGATCAAGAGTCGGACACTTACCTGACTGAGCCACCCAGGTGCCCCAAGAAAGTGCTTCCCTTGCTTATTCCTAAGAAGCACCTGTTCATCCCTTCGGCGTGATCATGACATTGGAGCAGTGCGGTCCTCTCTCCAGCCTCCACTTCTTGCCGTTTCCACCACATCCACGATTACTTCCTCCACTGGAGTCTTGATCCCCTCAAAGTCTTCATGAGGGTTGGAATTCCAAACTCCTGTTCATGTTGCTATTTTGACCTCTTCCCTCGAATCGCGAATGTTCTTTTTTTTTTTTAATGTTTTATTTATTTCTAGGAGAGAGAGAGACAGCGTGAGCAGGGGGGGGTCAAAGAGAGAGGGAGACACAGACTCTGAAACAGGCTCCAGGCTCTGAGCTGGCAGTCAGCACAGAGCCGGATGCAGAGCTCCAACCCACGAACCTGAGATCATGACCTGAGCCAAAGTCGGACGCTTAACCGACTAAGCCACCCAGGCGCCCCAATCGCGAATGTCCTTAATGGCATCTCAAACAGTGAAACTCTTCCAAAAGGTTTTCAATGTATTTTGCCCAGATCTGTCAGAGGAAACACCCTCTACGGCAGCTGTAGCCTTACAAAATGAATTTCTTAAATAATAATACTTGGAAGTCAGAACTATTCCTTGATCCATGGGCTGCAGAATGGCTACTGTGTTGACAGACATGAAAACAACATGAATTTCATTATACATCGCATCAGAGCACTTGGGTGACGAGGTGCATTGTCAGTGAACACTAATATTTTGAAAGGAATCTTTTTTTTTTCTTTCCTGAGCGGTGGGTCTCAGCAGTGGGCCTAAAATATTCAGTAAACCATGTTGTAAACAGACGCGCTGCGACCCAGGCTTTGTCATTCCCTCTACAGAGCACAGGCAGAGTAGATGGGGGATAATTCTTACGGGCCCCAGGATTTTCAGAATGGTCAAGGAGCAAGTGGCTTTAAAGTCGCCGGCTGCATTCACCCCTAATAAGAGAGTCAGCCTGTCCTTTGAAGCTTTCAAGCCAGGCTTTGACTTCTCTCCAGCGGGGGAAGCCCTAGATGGCATCTCCTTCCAATAGAAGGCTGATTCACCGACACTGAAAATCTGTTAAGGGTACCCACGTTCATGAACAATCTGAGCTAGATCTTCCGGAGAACTTCCTGCAGCTTCTACAACAGCACTTGCTAGTTCACCTTGCACTTGTATCTCGTGGAGAGGGCTTCCTTCCTTAAACCTCATGCACTGACCTCTGCTGGCTTCAAACTTTTCTTCTGCAGCTTCTCTACCTCTCTCAGCCTTCACAGATTTGAAGAGAATTAGGACCCTGCTCTGAAGGAGGCTTTGACTTAAGGGAATGCTGTGGCTGGTGTGATCTTCTGTCCAGACCACTCCAACTTTCTCCACATCAGCAAAGAGGCTGTTTGCTCTCTTGTAATTCACATGTTCTCTCAAGCAGTACTTTTCATTTCCTTCAAGAGCTTTTGTTTCGCATTCACAAATGGCTAACTGGCACCAGAGGCCTGGCTTTCAGCCTATCTCAGCTTTTAACACGCCTTCTTTGCTAAGCTGAATCATTTCCAGCTTTTGATTTCAAGTGAGAGATGTGTGACTACTCCTTTCACCTGAACACTCAGAGGCCCGTGTGGGGTTATTAATTGGCCTGATTTCAATACTGTTGTGCCTCAAGGAATAGAGAGACCCAAGGAGGGGAGAGAGAGATGGGAATTGCCGTCAGTGGAATACACACACAACATTCACGGATCAAGCTTGTCGTTTTCTATGGGTGAGGCTAACAGTGTCTGCCCCACGATAATTATAGCAGTGACGTCAAACATCAGCGGTCACAGGCCACCATAACAAAGATAGTACAAATAATGAAAAAGTTTGAAATAGTGCATTACCAAAATGTAACACAGAGACACACAAATTGAGCAAATGCTATTGGAAAAAATGGCGCTGGTAGACTTGCTTGAGGCGGGGTTGCCACGGACCTTCAATTTATAAAAACTGTAACAGCCTCAAAGCACGATCCGATGAGGTATGTCTGTATAAAGTGGTAGCCCCAATTTCAGGACAAGAGTGAAAATAGGATAGTCTTCATCTTTCTCTTTGATCAAGACGGGTTCCCCAAGTCCATTTTGGGCCTGGTTTCTTTCACTTATTCATCAACTATTTGAGGCCTCACCTGTGCCAGGCCCTGTGGTCAGTGCAGGGGACAGAGCAACGAATAAGGCAAATGGACCATGCACTCAGGGAGCTTGGGATCTCAGAGGGGGTCACCGAGGCTGGCAGCATGCTTCCTGTCCTTCTTTTACTTCCTGGGTCCCTGCAGAGATGTCGGAGATGAGTAGTGGGGATTCTGTCTTTTGGGCACATTCTGTAGCCTTGATGAGACTTTGGCTCAGAGATTGTGAGTACAGACTCTCCAGCCCTGTCTGCAGAGCTCGGAGGCTTGTGATAAGCCTGACCTCCCACCTCTACCTGCACCGAGGACCTCTGCCTGTTTCCTTGGTATGTTAATGGAGTAGAAGTCTCTTCCACCTCCTCTGCCTCCCAGGCACACAGAGCTAAGGCACTGGGGATGAGCCACCTGTCCACAACTTCCTAAAGAGATCCACACCTCCGTGTGTTTACAAGGCTGAGGCATATGCTCTGGTAGCCCCTGGCCCCTATTCTTCCCCCTTCCTGACCCTCTGGGACTGACCTCCTCTCTTGAAAAGCCTCTTTACCCCCACCTCCTGATGTGAATCGCTTCCCTGTTGCCTTTTGCAGGCTAGCAAAACACCTGTGAGCGCCTCACCTGTAGGGGCAGGGCACTCCGATGCAGACTGGGCAAAGATGATTTTTTACAGATGGAGAAACTGAGGCACGATGAGATCAGCTACCTACCGCTTGTCTTCTCTCTCCCGCCCCCCCCCCCCATTTTGTATACCACTCTCAGCGGGAAAATGCATTATCTGCCCCTAAATCACTTCCATCCTCCCGGATCCCGGCCGTCAGCACAACATTAAAGAATACAGTGTGAGAAATCTTAGGGTAACAATATTCAGGCTTTATTTCCACAAAACTCAGGAGGAGAAGCTTCTTCTGAAGAATTGTCACACTGACTTCAGGTCACAAAACGGAGTAAGTGAAGAAAAGTGGCGGGTTTATCCGATGAGGTTGCTGGCCAAGGAGACACCACAGTGCGGTTGCAAGAGACAAGGGACAGACAGACTGGGTCCCCAACCTGGAAAAAGCAGGTGTCAGCACCTAGATCAAGCCTGACACGGGGGGCGGGGGGATGGGGGGTGGGAAGCTGGGGACGGGGTTGGTCGGACTCCTTGAAGACTGTGGTTTTTCGGCGCCTCAGTGGTGACTGGAAATAATTTTCTAAAAAAGCAAAGAGCAAACGGTAGCAGGTGGCTACTCGGGAATCTGTCCGAACCAAGTGTCCTTTCATCCAGCCTCGGTGCTCCCGGAGTTTCCTGGCGTCGTCCCTGTCTCGCCCGCGGGTCCCCTCACTCTTGCTCCTCCCTGGAACCGATTCTGTGGCTCCGCCCAGGTCATCTACTACCTCTTCCGCCCTGGAACTCACTTCCTCTGCACCTTTGTCTGCAGTCACCTCAGACCCCTCCTCAACCTCTCCTCCTGGCTGGCCCTGCACAGCCCGCCCGTCTCGCCTGCCCTCGGCCCTCGGAGGGCGCTCCCCAGTGTCCTCCGTCACTTCCTCCTGAGTCTCCCTCCACCCCCCACGCGAGGGGCTCCTCCTCAGTGCCCTTAGAGCTTCCGCCCAAAGCAAAGCAAATGCCGGGACCCCAGTTCTGCCCACCCCCCCCTCCCCCGGGTGACTGTGCCTTGCACAGCTCACTCCGCTCAATACTCACCTACCAGAACTTCACCCACTGCAGCAGGCCAGGCTGCACCCGGGAAGCCTGCAGGACAAGGAGAGTGTGAGCCAACGTCGCCCCGTCTCCCCCGCGCCCTGTGGCCTCAGACCCTGTCTCCCACGAGCCACGGTTTCCCTGCCCCGGTACTCACCGAGGAAGAAGGCGTGGCTCCCCCCTGTAAAGAGAAGATCAGAGGAGGTGATGTGGGATGACAGGGACCTCTGTGTCCTCTGCCACGTCCTCGGGGCTCAGGAGGGGCCCAATGGCAGGGGAAGGCACAGACCACGATCATGTCAAAGTCCTTGGGCCTGACCGCGGAGGTTCAGCCCACGGACTTTTTTCAAAGCAGATTTATCAGCCTAAGTACACCTGACCCAAGGTGAGCACACGCTGGCCAGGCAGATGGAAAAGGGGAGATGGGTGCCCCCTGCCTCTGGGTGGAGAAATTCTGGGTGGACAGAAATTGGAGAGTGGACACCCACAGGCGCTGCTGGCTGCTCTGTCGCCTACTTCCAGTCAGTAGGTGACTTCTGATCTCTCAGAAGTCCCGTCCCTGAGGGCAGGGGCTTCCCTGTTCTGAGAGATGGAGGGAAATAGTGCCTGGTTTTTTCACCATCCGAATTAGTACTCAGCACATTCATTCATGGAGTCTGTAAGATGGCTTTCTTTGCAACTGAATGAAACATAATTCTCAGGGTTGTTTTTTGTTATCTTTTTTTTTTTAAGTTTATTTATCTGTTTTGAGAGAGAGAGAGAGAGAGAGAGAGAGAGAGAGAGAGAGAGAATCCCAAGCAGGCTCCACACTGCAGACCCCAAGGTGAGGCTCGAACTCACAAACTGTGAGATCATGACCTGAGCTGAAACTGAGTCAGCCGCTCAACCAACTGAGCCACTCAGGAGCCCCTCTCAGGATTTGTTTGTTTGTTTGTTTGTTTGTTTGTTTTCTGTTACTTCTTTTGTGGAATAAAGCATTAACTTTCCCACGAACCACAAGTTTCTGGGCAAGCTGTCCCCAAGTGCTGGTGTGCCTTCTTCTCCCCCACCTCCCATCCCCCAAGAAATCAGCAGCTAAAGAGGTGGAGGGGACAGACACTAAAAGCAAAGGCTGCTGGGGCGCCTTGGGGGCTCAGTCAAGTAAACATCTGACTTCAGCTCAGGTCATGATCTCAGGGTTCATGGGTTCAAGCCCCGCGTCCGGCTCTGTGTTGACAGCTCAGAGCCTGGAGCCTGCTTCAGATTCTAGGTCTCCCTCTCTCTCTGCCCCTCCACCGCTCATGCTCTGTCTCTCAAAAATAAATAAAGATTAAAAAAAAAAAAAAGAAGCGAAGGCTGCTTGTTTTGCCCTGTGTCGTGTGAGTGCATAAGAGCTGTATATCCCTCTTTGAGAGGATGTTCATTCCCGTTTTCTCCTTCACATGCAATGCAGCCACTGCCCTCTTGTAACGTTTCCTCAGTGAGTGGGTATGAAGAACCCCAAACCTTGAACCCTCCGCTTCCAAAGTGCTCTCAGGGAGCCCGAGTCTCCTTGCAGACCAGACTTTCAAAATGAACAGGATTCGGCCTCAGCTAAACTTGGCAGTGACCCCAGCGAGGAAACAGGGCACTTGGGCATCTTACCTTAGAGGGGATCTTGGCTGAGTACTGCCCACCAGGGGGAGTAGGGTATGCCTGCTGGTTATAGTTGTGCTGTGAAAGAAAGCCAGAGAATTGGGGGGGGGGGGGGAGGCAGAAGAGAAGGGGTGAGGGCATTATGCTGTGGAATAAACACCCCGCCTCCCTGCCTGGGCCACACCTGTCTCCAAGCCCCTGCCTTCCCTCCCTTCCCTTCCTTCCACTCTTTTCTGTAGAATCTCCTCGGGCCAGCCAGGGCCCACAGCCTCCCCCCACACTGTGGTCCGCGCCCCAGCGGCCCTGCCCCCCCCTCCCCTGTAGCTCTCCCAGCTCCTCAAGTGTTACTTAGAAGATGAGGGCAGGACACCAAGGAAAGAAGCGGGGTCTGAACCTGGTGGTCCGGCAACAGATGTCTTACCTTAGAAGTTACAGCTGCCGCCTCTTGCCATCCTGTGCCAGACTGAGAAAAGGACAGAACGGGGGTGTGAAGGAGAGAGAATTTCAGATCGGCCAGCCCTGACGACAAGACCGAGAGGGACCAAGGGCGGAGAGACTCACCTGGCCGGCACCGCCCGACCTCTTCTGGAGCGATGATGGGTCGGCACCCTGGAAGGGAGAGGGAGCCATAGTTAGGGTGCCCTCATCCGTGGCCCATCCGGCCCTGCCTGACTCGCAGCCTGATGCCCAGGCTCGACCCTCCTGCCGGAGCACCAGCACCCACCCACCCCACCACACCCCTGTCCGAGGTCCGTGAGCAGCGCTACCTACAGAGAAGGCAGGGAGCCTGGAGGAAACTGATGGCCCCAATAGATAAAGGACAGATTTCCACACTGAGTGTGGAAGAGCGAGGCAACACCACCCCCACCTGTGCACCTGGGGCTGCAGCAGACTGGCCTGGGACTGAGCAGGGAGCGGTGCGCACACAGGCTTCCCCGGGGGCAGACGCCCACCTCAGCCCAGCCCACCTTCTGCCGAAACCAAGTCCCGCTCTCTCCTTGGCCCCACAATCCCTGTTCACAAACATTGTTCCCGCAGGGCTCCCGGAGGACAGGCTCTTACCCTCAGCAAGTGGAGGCAAAGCGGAGGGATTAGATTAGCTCTGGGCCAGAGAGAGAGAAAGGGGAGAAACATGGGAAGCCAGGTGAGACACAGCGCAGGTGCGCGGCCATCTCCCCTCCACAGTCAAGGCAAGGGGAGAGTTCTCAGCAGCAGGAGAGGAATTCCGTTTCCACGGCCATCCCTTGGCCACCTGGAGCTCACCTGCCTAAGCACAGGGTTGGGATGTGCCTCCTAACTCTTACTTAACTCCCATTGATTTTTTAGCCCCAACACTGAGGTCACAAACTGCTTGACCACAGGTCTCCAGACGTTGTTTGCTTGGTCTGCATTTTTTAAATTAAATTAATTGCAAACAATTAAAACTCAGATTTCCGGGATGCCTGGGTGGCTCCGTCAGTTGAGCATCAGGCTCTTGATTTTGGCTCAGGTCATGATCCCAGGGTCATGGGATCGAGCCCCTCATTGGGCTCTGTGCTGAATGTGGAGCCTGCTTAGGATTCTCTCTCCCATTGCCCCTCTGCCTCGATCATGCTCTCTCTCTCTTCCTCTGACTTCTTCGCTCTCTCTGTCTGTCTGTCTCTCTCTCTCAAATAAAAAAATAAAAATAAAAATCAAATTTCCATCAAATGACATGGCCTCACTGGTACTCATGAACGCATGGCAATATGCAGCGGAAGGGCCTTGACCTCCCCCTTTGCATGGCCCCATCTGTCCAGCCTCACTTGCATGGTCCACATGGATGAGTGACTGGACAACCTTTGCCTCAGTGTCCAAGGCCACTGCCCATACAGAATCAAGGTATGACCTTCTGCAGCACCTAGAGGTTCTGCCCATCCTTCCCAGAACCCAGATATTCAGACCCTCTGAGCCTGCCTGCACTTGACCATGACCTGACCTTCTCCCCCCCCCCACCCCCGTACCATGCCTCCTGTTTTCTTTCAGCCTTCCTCCCTAAAACCCCTTTACCAGTGCTGAGAGTTGACCCCAGATCCAGGCCTCTGTGTCTTCCCTACCTGGTGCCCCACCACCTGCTCACCCTGCAGTACCCACCCAGCTGTGGCTCCCCCTGAACCAGACCACGCCCAGCAGGAAAAGCAGCAGAGCAGAGACAGTGGCCGGCTTCATATTCCTGTGCCTGTGGAGGCCCAGGCCCTTGGCCTCAGCTTTTATCCGCGGGAGGACCGCCCACCCTACTGCTCCAATGACTCCCAAGAGCTTCTCTCTCCCACCCCACCCCCACTCAGTGTTGCAGACAGGGAGGAGAGTGGGAAGGGAGGGAGGCACCCTCCCTCAGCAGGGAGCGTAAACAACAGGGACCAAGTCCACAAGCCATTGCCAAGGCCCTAGATCCCGTGTCCCCAGAGCTGAGCCAGCCAACCCCAGAATGAGAGGTTCTGCCACCCTTACCTCGATAATTGCTTTCCAGTTCAGGAAAGGGGTGTTGTGTTTGAAATCCTGGAGGGAGGAGAAGAGGTGAGTGGGCCGGAGTATGACAGCTTGATGGGAAGTTTTGGGCTGATGTGCAGGCATGAGCCTGGGTGTGGTTCGGGGGTTAGATGAAGAGAGCATAGGGGAGGCTGAGGGTGTCAGCACTTCTGATGGTACTTGGGTGAGATCACCATCTCAAAAGTGACAAGAGGGTGAATTTTGCAACAGGTGGGCTGGAGCTTGAGGGAGGTGGTGAGAGGGACAGGTGACCGGGATCCCCAGTTCTTCAAAAAGTGGGAGGTCTCCTACCTCCCAGAGCCGGCTGAAGTAGAGGAGGGCCCGTGTGCTGGGGGGTGGGACTTGGCCCTGTAGAGGAAAGGCGGGGTGCAGGTTAGCAAGGAGCTGGGTCCGCTGCTCACCTGCACCCCTGTTCCCACTCTCACCATTGCAGCCTTTAGACTTTCATCCCAAACTAAGGTTTGGGGGAAGCCGGGTGTCTTCAGGGACACCAGAAAATGGCTTTTGGAAGCAGAGGGAGAGAGAGGCTAGATCTTCGAGGCCACTAAGCAGCTCCCCTCCCCAGGCACGTGCCCCATGCTCATCACTATCCCTGTTTCCCCAGCAGAACTCATCAGCATCCCTGAAGCAAAACCTCAGGACCAGGACCTGCCCCCAGAGCTTCCCGCCTTCCTACCTGCCCTTCCATCTCCAGCCCATTTCCCAAAGCTGAGGGCTGCAGTAGACCCTTCCAGACTCCCCCGGGGAACAACAGTGGAGACGTAAGAAAGCAGCAGAGACCAGGAGTGTGGGGCAGCTAAGGTTTATTTCGAGGCTAAGGGTTGAGATTAGTGGCGGGATAGTGATGTTTTAAGAAGGGGTGGGAGGGGGGCTCCCATCCATCTGGTAGCTCCTTGTCTGGAGGTCACGGGGTGCGAAAGCTCCTCTGGTCCTGGGCAAAGAAATAAGTTCTAAGAGGGAGCTCGAGGAATAGGAATTCAGGCCGTAGTGGGCCAAGTCAGGGGCGGATCGGGCCTCCGCTGCTGAAATCTGCAGGGATCTTTTTGCCCACGGCTGTCATCCAGTCAAATCCAGATATTCCAGTTGGGCTTGAAACCCTCATACTTGCCAAGAACTGTTACGTATATTCTCCTTGTCCTCACTGGTCAGTCCGGTCCTCCTTGTGAAGGAGATGGACTCTCTGTTCTCTCCTCTGCCCATCTCTGCCCTGCCCCAGTTCCTAGATCTGCTCCTGGGGAAGCCGCCCCAAATGAATCCTGCCTAACTGTGAGCACTCTCCTTTTACCGGCCCCATAGACGTGCGAGAACGTCGACTGCCTTCCTGGACCCAGGGAGGTATGAGTATGTGCCTCCGACCCTAAGTTCCCGGTAATCGGGGTTGAGGGGACCTGTTTCTCTATAAAACAGAAACAGTCTATTTGCTCATGTTCATCCAGACCAGAACCGCGCTGCTGCTGGGAACTTCTGCCTACTGTACCTTTCACAGCCCCATCTTATTCCCCAAGGGGCAGCCTTGGCCTTACTGAGGGTGAGGCTCTGCCCATGCCTCCCTCGTTTCCCCCACCAGTTTTAGAGGTTAGGGACCCTTGTTCTTGCTTCTTTTGTGTTAAGGGTCAGAAGCTTAGAGACTGTGACAGACAGGGGGCCTGGGGCTGCTGGAGAACAAGCACCCCCCAACCCCTCCTCACCACCCCCACCCGAGGCAAGAAGCAGCTGCTACTCAGCTCTGGTCTTTGGGAGCTCAAGGAAAGAGGGGCCCTGTGTTGCCACATTTTTCAAGAGAAGCCAGAATTCCAAGTCATTTTGTAAAATTTCTGACGTTGGCAACTAGTTCATAATGCTTTAAAAAAAAGAATGGATTGGGGCACCTGGGTGGGTCAGTTGGTTAAGCGTCCGACTTCAGCTCAGGTCATGATCACACGGTTCATGGGTTCAAGCCCCGTGTCAAGCTCTGTGCCAATGGCTAGCACAGAGCCTGGAGCCTGTTTCAGATTCTGTGTCTCCCTCTCTCTCTGACCCTCCCCTGCTCACACACTCTCTCTCTCTCTCCCTTTCCCTCTCTCTCTCTCTCTCTCTCAGAAATAAATAAAAAACATTTAAAAAAAAAAAAAAAGAAAGAAAGAAAGAATGGATCATGGGGCGCCGGGGTGGATCATCGGCTAAGCATCCGACTCTTGATTTGGGCTCGGGTCATGATCTCAGGGTTGGTGAGATGAAGCCTCACTCTGTGCTGAGTGTGGAGCCTGCCTGAGATTCTCCCTCTCCTTCCCTCTCTGCCCCCCACCCCGCCCCCAGCTCACGCTCTCTCTCTCTCAAAATAAATAAATAAACATTTAGTGTAAAAAAAAAAAATAGAGTAGGTCAGAGAAAGCACACCAGTGGGCTGTCACTTGCAAATTCTGCCTTTGGTATTGGTCTGGGTTGTTTATCTGCCTCTGCTCTGGAGGCACACCTGCTATTTGGGTGTCAATCAGCCTGGCTAGGGGGGATCCCCTGAAGCTGGAAGGCTGGGCAGGGAGGAAGGAGAAGGGGGTTCAGGGCCCCAAGTGCCTCCTAAGCTCACGCAGGCACAGGGCCCAGCACGCCTGGCCCCCAGCAGGCACCTGGTACACACCTGCCTCCTGCCCCTCCTCTCAGCCTCCGTCCTCCCTTGTGGGGCCTTTCCGGTCCTCCCAGACAGTGAGGTCCACCCCTTACCCGGCCTCTGTGGCCTCTCCCGTTTCCCGAGGACTAGGCCTCCTCACTCTCCCATAACCTTCCAGGTCTCCAAGGGGAAACTGAGCTTGAGACCTGCTCGGTCTGCGCTGCACATTGAGACCTGAAAGAGGCCCACTCCTTCCTCATCCCTGACTCCCAGCTGTTTCCGAACTCTGACCACCCCTTCGCATCTGTGGTCCTTCCTCGTCATCGCTGTCCCTTTTTTAAGCACTGGGCGAAACACTCCCTTAGTAGCCACCATCGTCTCCCCCGGTCCCCACAGCTCTTCTCCATTCCCCTTCCCCCCGGAGATCAGAATGGCATAGACTTCCAGCCCTTACCTTATTTATAGCGTCCCAGTTAATGAAACCCAGCTTGGATTTAAAATTCTGCAGAGGAAAAAGAAAAAAGGAAAATGGCAAACTGGGCCATAATGCAATTGGCGCAGGGTCTTGGGGCAGGAGAGGTCAAGGCCCACCACTGATGGTGGTTGGTTATGGAAAGAGGAGTTCAGCCTGCAGGGCAGAGGGATAGGGGTTTGCCTTTCCAACAGTGAGCAGAGCAATCTGGCCGAACTCACCTTCCAGAAGGTGTCGAAGTTGAAGAGCCCAGGAGACGTCTGAGAGTCCTAAGACACCAGGGAGAAATGGGATGAGAGTGGGAACCCCCCTTGTGAGCCAGAGGCAGGCGCAGGCGCTCTGGGGCTCAGGAGGGGACACAGAGGTTGCTTGACACCACGGTCCGGGCCCAAGGTGGGGTGATGCCTCCACTCACCAAGGTATTGATCCCACTGACAGCTTCACCTCCTCCACTGGACCCTTGCCACTGGGTAGGAAGGGGGGACTAATTTTCAAAGTCTGTGCCTCCTGTCACACATGCCACTTGTCAACCTGCTCCTAGCTCACCATCTCTGCCTTGGCTCGAGCTCTGTGCACTCTCTGTAAAGTCACCTTCTCTTCTTTTTCACACAGCAGCCAGGAAGCCCACCTTCCTGGAATATATGCCACTTCCGAGAATAACCCTGCCCAGTCCCTTGAATCATATTCATATTCTAACTCCCCCTGCCCCCACTCTGTGTAGCCTGCCCCCAAAACACCACTAGGAAGTACCGTGTGGTCCCACCACGCGCTTCGCACGTGCCTTATCTTGCCACGTTCCCGTGTGGAGGTGTCTCCACTGTACAGACAAGGAAACCAAACCCAGAACCATCGGCAGCTTTGCCTCAGGATCCGTCTCCTTGTCGGACTCCAGGGTCCAGATCCTGAGCCACCTTGGCAGTTGCAGAAAGTTCTGCAGTAACTGGGGTGGGGGCAGTGAGCAAGTTAGGCTCTGCCGTCCCCGTTTGACCCGAGAGGAGGCCGAGGCTCAGAGCGGTCAGCTGACCGGCCTGAAGGTGTACAGATGACAGGTGATACAGCTGTCAGTTGAACCCCCATCTACTAACTCAAAATTCATTGCCTTTCCACTTGTCAACACTGCCTTCTCAAGTATGGTTCCCAAATGAAGCCCCTTGACCAGTCCTCTGTTACTTCCGGCTATGCTGCCCCTCACAGTGATAACACGGCTCTGACCAAAGTCCAAAGGAGGGAGAGAATGAGTGAGTGGAGAAGGAGACAGGGATCCCAGACCTTTGTCTGGTCTCCTGATGGTTACCCGACATAGACTCAGGGCAGCTGCGAGAAGACACTGATACTTCTATTTATTTTCCTGGTCCCTTAGCACTCTGTCCTCACCTGCCACAGTCCCTGCTCACCTGATAATTGCCTTGGGAGCCCCCAACGACGTGACTGCCTTCTTTGTTTATTTCCTGGGGAGAGAGAAAATGGAGAAGAGTCGGTGGGAAAGCAGGGAAGATGCGGGATGAGAGGGCAGGACAGCAGAATGTGGGCAAGGGACTCCTGAATCAGGGGACTGGAGATTTCCCGGGACCCCGAGAGAGGCCCTTCTCCCCAGGCAGCTCCATCTTCCCTGGCAAATCTTGCCTCAACTTCTTGTGGATTAAGCTAGTGCTCACTTACGATACTTTCAGGTAACATAACCACCTCTTTCTGTTCACGTCTGCAAACTGCCCAAAATCCAACAGGAAGGGCCTTGGCCACCAAAGTATCTGAATTATCCTCTGGTTTTGAGGCAGAAGCCCCCGGAGTGTTAGACTAAATTGGTTCAAACTGCAGTGCCCAGTCTGTGCTGATGTTTTGCTTTGGTCAGAAAGGTGACACTAGCTGGGCAGTCAGTGGGAGCCAAGGAAGCCCAGCGTAGCCTGACTCGTCTCCTCCTAAGTGAGAGGTAGGCGCCTCCGGAGCCCCACTTCCCGGGGCTAAGATGAATTCCCAGAGCCAAGGTCAAGAACGGGCCGCGCCGTGGGACTATCTGCCTTGCTGGTATCGCTACTGCAGAGTTGACCTCTATCCCATTCTCCTACCACCAGTCTCTACTCAAGGCCTGGTATCTCCTTACCCTGACATCGCCAGAGCCGCCAGGCCCTCTCTGTCCTCCTCCGAAGCCCTGAGGATGAGACACGAAACACAGGTCATTGTTCTAGATCTTGGGTCCATCCCTGCAAATTTTTGTGCTGATTTAATACAATTCTTCTGAAAACACTCATGGGATTCTCTTTTGGAACATGTCAAAATAATCTTGGAATTCATCTGGGAAAATGAGTGTCTAAGAATAGGTGAGAAAACACTGGAAAAGACGGAGCAAGGGAGGACTTGTACTGATAGATATTAATGTGCCGTAAAGAAAGGAGTGCCCAGCACAGATGAGCCTGTTTAGCCAAGTAGAACCGCCCAGGTTCTACCCCCTGGGTGGCTCAGTCGGTTAAGCATCTGACTTCAGGTTGGGTCATGATCTCATGGTTTGTGAGTTTGAGCCCCGCATCAGGCTCTATGATGACAGTGTGGAGCCTACTTGGGATTCTCTCCCTCCCACTCTCTCTCTCTCTCCCCTCACCTCCCATTCACACTTTCTCCTTCCAAATAAATAAATAAACTTTGAAAAAAAGTATAACCCCCATAGAAGCTCTCCCAAAATATGAAGGTATTCACAAGCAACATTTTTACATCAGTGGCGGAAACAATTCAGTGCATGCGGCTGGGAACACCAGTTCAGTGTTCGCGGGGGGGGGGGGGGGGGGGGGGGGGAAGGTGCAAGGGAGCCTCGTTATACCTCACTGGCTCCCTCCCTTCTGTTTTTATCTGACTTCCCCCTTCCTAAGAAAGCACACAGCTCTGATCCAAAGTGTGGGTTAAGTTGAGCCGATCTGAGGAACTGGACTAGATTGTATACAGCAAAGTCAAGTCCAGATGGATGAAAGAGTTAAATAGAAACAATGAAATTATAGAAGTAGTTCTAGAAGAAAATAAAAGCCTTTTTTATTTTCAAGAGCAGAAACCACGGAAGAAAAGACTGATCTATGTGACTACATATTTAAGGCTTTGGTACGTAAAACACTAGAAATAGAGTTTACAGACTGGGAGCTCTTCTGACACCTGTCGACCCATCGAGATTAGTATCTCTGGTGTCCAAGGAGCCTGGTATGCAGGGAGCCTTCTCAATGTGGCGCCACCACCCCAAGCCTTCTCCCTGTCGGTCAGCTGCGCTCACACCAACCATGGTCCAGCCCCAGCCACCTTGCCCAGAACCTGATAGAAACCAGAATCTCAGCCCCACCCCAGGCCTGCTGACTCACGGCCTGCATTTTCACAAGACTCTAGGTGATTGGTGGGGACCTTAGCATAACAATTCCTCTTGTCAGTGCTGCAGGTGCTGACAGAAAGCCCAGATTTCCAGAATAACCAGGAGGGAAGTGAACGCTTTCAACACACAGTTTCCAAATGCTGTCGAAAAGGTCACGGGACTCTGTTCATTGGCCAGGTGGGTGTAGGTCATTAGAAATGATTATATTTCTAAAAGGACTGGTTTCTATGTGCTTTTTCACAGCTCCATCTACGGTATAAAGAGAGGCACATCGCGTGAGGATTTGCAACTCATGATTACTTTGGAGATTAGTGAGTTCATGTAGGAGTCAGCATTCGCTTTCTTCATCACGGACGGACCCGGGGCTGAGCAGGGTTGGGCCCAGTCCCAAAGTTTGGCTCTTACCTGACCCCCAGATCCTCCAGACACGCGGGCTTCATTCCCTGGGGTGTTACACTGAGAGAGAGAGAGAGAGAGAGAGAGAAAAGGCTTTCTCTCTGTTGCCACGGGGCAAACCAACCCCAGCCCCCAAACTGCAGCACGCTACCCCCAAGGTTAGCCCACATCCGCCCCGAGCAACACACCCCCTCCCAGCTCTGGCCGTTGCTCTCCCAACTCTCCCATCCTCCGAGGGGCCTCAGCACCCCCTTATCTTCCCTTCTCCAGAGAAAGGAGGGAGATCTGTGCTCAGCGGACACTCACCTCGGGTTTATTTCCACCACTGCTTCCGCTACCACCGCCGCTACCAGAGGAAGAGCCGGTATTGTATCCCTAGGAGGGAAAGCAAGAGTCCATACAGGGTCTTCAAAGGACTCGCTGAGAACCAAGTTGTTTCTGGGGTGCCATGATTCTTTTTACTCCCCTGTCCCCAGCCTCCATCTCTTCCCATCTTTAGCTAGCCAGTCACCGAGGGAAGTAACTCGGAGCACAAAGGCCCTGTGTGGCCAAGTGTATTTGGAAATGGGGGCCAGTCTGGGGATTCTGAGCTATTGTCTCCTCTTCCCCTCCCCCACCCCCCGGGCTCCCGACATGCCAGAAGTAAAGAGCCTTGACCCTGGCACCCAAGGGCTCGGTCTGGCCCCCTCCTGCCTCTCTTCCCCACTCTCTCTCCTGGAACCTAGAAAGGGGAAGGGACCCCTCGAGTCCTTACCTGGGAGCCTGAGTAGCTGCTTTGATCAAAATTCCTAGAATTTTCTAAGGGACAGTCCTAGATGGGGAAGCAGATAGTACAAGGAGCAGTAAATTAAAGTGGTTTGTGTGACCTGGCTTGTTCTAGTCACCTCCCTCTTGTGGCCCGAAAGCTTTCCCAGATACCCAAGAAAGCCGACTGTGTCCCCCCTGCCGGCCCCTCTGTGGGAGAGCCCTCGCTGAGCTCATGGTCCCCCCCTGGCCCCTCACCCCTGATTGTATCAGTGTCATCTACACCGCGGCTCCGTAAATGTCCTTTCTCCATGTGTGCGACAGGCCGGCCCCTGTTCCCTGAGGAGCTCCCCAAGCAGGTGTCCTGTTTTCCCGTGTCCACCTCTCTCCCTCCGTCTGCCACCCCCGTCTCTGGTCAGGTCTGCCCAGTGGACACGCGTGCAGGCGCGGGTGAGACTCAAGAGAGAGCATCCGCACTGGCACGGAGCGCAGGACACGGGAGCCCCGGGAGCTAGCAGCGCGCAGGGCGCCCCTTGCCGGGAACTAGAAAGGAGCCCCGCCTGCTGGGCCGGGAAGGTGGGGAGCGTGGCCCGGGGCCCCCAGGGGAAGACCTCGGAGGGCGGCTCCTCAGCAGGGGCCACCAGGGGCGGCGCTGCACCTCTGCCTTCAGCCAGGGAGCAGGACTCACCCAGCTGGGCCCGGAGCTGCCACCGCCATTGCTGCCACTGCTGCTGCCGCCATTGCTGCCACTGCTGCTGCCACTACTGCCACTGCTGCCACCGCTGCTGCCACCACTGCTGCCACCGCTGCTGCTGCCACCACTGCCACTGCTGCCGCCGCCGTTGCCACCGCTTCCCTGAGGGGCAAGAGAGAAGAGTGAGAGAAGAGAGAAGAGAGCAGAGTGAGAACGCCAGTCGAGGACATGGGATCTTGTTCGCTCCCCTCCCGCGTCCCCTCCCTCCTTGCTCAGGCAAGTCCCCTGCACAGTCAGGTGAGCAGAGATTGTCGTCTGCTGTGCAAAATGCCCCCGGCCGCCCAGCCCCTTACCCCGGAGTTGCCAGAGGAGCTTCCGCCTGAGCCGGAGGGTGGGGGGTTGGTGCACTGCGGAGGAGAGTTTCCAGACCTCAGTCAGAGCTGCTGCCACGGCCAGGCTCTCCCGCCTCCTGTGGCTTGGCCTCCGTCCCCCCCTGGTTCTCCCCCAAGCCCCGTCCCACTCGCCCCCCCTCCTCCGGGTCGCTTGGCCCAACCCATCTCTTCCCCGTCCAAGTGGCCTTGTACCTCAGTCTCCCCTGTCCCAATCCTTCTCTCCTTCCTCTTCATCTCGCCTCCTTTCCATCTCACACGCCCGGACACCCTCTGCTTGCCCGCACCCGTCCCCTCACCTCTGCATGTGACTTGCTGCTGCCTCTCACTGAGCCGTAACCGGGCTGGACCACGGTCCCCTGCAGAGAGGGTCAGGCTGAGTGTGGGGACTGAGGGGGCCTGGCCGACAGATGAGGGAGGCGTGGAGACTGCAGGCCTGAAGGGCAGGAGGTGGCGAGCATCAGGGCTGGGGTGGTCACGTACCTGAGCGTTGGGCCCCCAGCTGGGAGAGCCTCCATTGGCTCCTTGGCCCCAGGCGCCTCCCTGAGGGTGGGTTCCGAAGCTGCCATCCGAACCTCCGGGGTACCCCTGGCCCCAGGGGGTGCCCAGGCCTCCAGGATTACCCTGGCTGTGGCCTCCGGAGCCACCCTGGGCACCAAAGATGCCATGGCCTCCAGATGGAGGCTGGCCGTTGGTTCCCTGCAAGAGCAACATGCCCGCACTCAGTGCGAGTGACTGTCCCCCCTCGTCATGGGGAGGCAGGACAAAGGCAGAGGCGGGCGGAGGGAGACGCCAAGGTGGGGAAGGAAGGATGCATAACTTGGAGGGACACCACCCCAGACAGCCACAGGTAAGAGACCTTCCCGCCCGTGGGTCATCCCTCCAGCCCACTCCAAGACCCACCCCAGGCGCCCACAGCCTCCCGCTTCCACACGGGGCTTCCGGCTACTCACCCAAGCACCACTGCCGCCAGGCATGGCCTGCCCGGAGCCGTGAGCCGCATCTCCTCCAAGCCGAATGGTGTTCTCAGCCTGCCTGCCAGCCTCATCCCCAGGGTTCCCAAGGCCCTGGGCTGCCCCCTCCATGCCGCGGCTCAGGGCCTGCCTGCTGGCAGAGCCGGCGGCCCCTCCGGTCCCTTGGCCGACGGCCTCTTCGACTCCGTGGCTAATGGCGTCTCCCAGCCCCTGTCCAATGGCATCTCCCACCCCGTGTCCCATGGCCTGCCCTACCTCTGCTCCGACCTCCTCCCCTCCTCTCAGCAACGGGCCAGCCTCCCCACCGCCCAGGCACAGGGCCAGCAGGAGGCAGGCCAGGGAGCCCTGCAACCTCATCTCTGCCTCGCTTCGTCTCTCCCTCCTGTCTTCTTCCCACCTGAGTCTGCTTCTCTTTGCCCTTTCTCTTCCTCCGTGCCCGCGTGCCCTCCCCTGCTCTCTTCCTCCTTCTGACTTCTTCTCCCTCCCTCCAGGCGTGCGGCCTTCTCTCTCCTTTCCCAGACTCCCCTGCCTTCCCAGAGTCCTCCTCCCTGCCACTACTCCTTATACTGCAGCTTGGGAGAAGGTGACAGGGCTGGGCAGCCCTGAGTCCCTCCCTCGTGACTCAGGGCCAGCCAGCCACCGATAGGGTAATGAGCTGTAATTGTGAGTCCGAGAATCTGTGTTGAAACAGAGAGGGAGCCAGGGCATCAGGGAGGGAAGAAGAAATGGGATGAGGCAGGTGCCAAAGTGTTCCGATTTCCCAACCTTAGGAATTTGGGGCGCAGGGTGGGGATGGGGGCATCTGAGGAGACAGGTGGTTGGTGTCTGCTAGAAGGGGTGGGATGGAGGGGACTTAGGAGAGAGGAGCCACAGGCAGCACCCAGCCAGGGAGGCAAGCGTAGGGAACCCAGTGAGGTGGGACCCACGAGGTGGAAGCCAGCCTGGGTCAGGGGCACCAGGATGAGAGGCGGGTGTCCTTTCTTGGCCTTGCTGTCTTGGTCTCGGTGACCTTGGTCTCTGCCATCTGTCTTTCCTCCCATATTGTCACCTCAGGGTGACTGGCCTCACCCTCTCCCATACCTTCCAGCCCGTAGAGAGCCTGGGAGCTGCGAGACTGCCCTCAGCGGGGACCCCAGGCTCCAGGGAAGGAAGTGGCCCGAGGACGGCAGCCAGGGCATCTCAGCACTGGGGCTGCTCTTGGCCAAGACAGCTGGGTGCGGAGCAGGGGAGCTGGGCGGGCCGGCCACCCCCAGGGAGCGAGTGGGAGGAGGCAGCTGACCCAGGCACCCAACCTGTTTACCTGGCCCACAGGGGGCACGAGTGTGAGCTCACAGCCTCCTGGGAGGCCCGGGACTGCTGCTCGCCCCACCCACCCCTGTCTCCGCAGGGCCCGGGCTGCACCAGCAAGGGAGGAGGGGTCCGCGTGAGGGCTCCCCCCCCCCCACCGCATCCCAGCTCAGGACGCAGAACTCCCCATCTCTCACCCCTGTTTAGCACCCGGGGGGGCTTCTCTGCTCCCAGGGCCCCGGGGCCTCCCACTTGCCCCCGGGCCTTGTATCACTGGGACTCATCACCGAGTTAGGAGGGGCCAGTTTCCATCCGCTTTCTCAATGCCTCTCAGTCAGTCTCTCTCCACCCCAGCACCAACTTGTAACATCCTCTCACCGTGTAAACACAATCCCGGTCTGGTCCCAGCAGCTCCTACCTCCCTGTTATTCCACCTCTCTTTAATGCTAATAATAATGGGGACAGTGGTAATAACAATATAATAATCATGGCAGCTTCAGTTTACCAAAGGTCTTCTTTGTGCCCAGCGCCGGACGAAGCGCTTCGAGGCTCACACAGCCCTGGGAGATAGTCTTCTTATAACCCTGTTTAGAGAACGACAATCTGGGGCTCAGAGGGGAGCGGTGGGGGTGTGGGGTGTGGGGTAGAGCCAGAGCCCAGCCCAGGCCTGCCCCGCTCCAGAGCCCTGCTGCTAGCACCTTCTGTCTCAGACCTCCCCGCCCCCTCAAAACCTTCACTCTTCTCTGGATAGAATTGGCTGTGGTTTTGCCCTGGGGCCTCGTGGGGGGGGGGGGGGGGGGGGGGGGG